GGGAGCCGGCGGAGAGGACAGGCGCTGCCCCCCGGCCGGCCTGCCCCTTCGGGAGGCGTTAGCCGTCTGCGGCGTTAAGGGCTTTTTGACTTCGGGCTTTTTAAGGCGCGCCGCGGGCGCCGCTGAGAAAGTCAACGGTGGTGACGCTTTACAGCGTGTTCGGAACTCGGAGTCAGTCCTTCGAGATACGTGAAGCAGGTCACGCTGCTCAGAACTACTTTCAAGCTGTTGCGATACTGTACCCGCGGTAGTTCGAAGGCTGGAAGCCTTCAGCGTATTCTTCCGTGAGTGCTAGAAACGTTTTAAAAAGCGTAATTCTAAACAGCGACGTTTTCCACGTAAATGGTTAGTTTTGACAGGCTCCGAGTCACTTTTTGGAGACACTTTTTCACTTGCTGTGTCACCACCAATAGGGAGAAATTGCAACATAATCCGGCAAGTACAGGTGTATCGAACGTAGCTGAAGTTTTGGGGTTTTTTAACATGGAGACAGACAGACTGCTGTGTACCACAAACCGAGCTGAAATTCCAGTGTTCAGTGTTGCATCCCGTGATCTGCCATCTTTATCAGCCAGAGCCCTACTCTTGTTCTTGTCACTGGCAGTCTACACCGTCTTTCTCTTCTTTCACATTACTAGTACAGGGCTTCCATGTGTATTAATTCTTCTAGCATCTTACTCTGGCCTCCAAGAGTCTTTCTTACCACTACAGTTTTTCTATTTTCCATGAACACTGCCGATTATCAACCTTGTGATTTCCTTTCCAGTTACCTTTGTGTTTTGCTTAATCTCTCCCTTTCAATTCTCTTGAAGCCCCTTTAATCCTTCTTTTAGAGGGTGCTGCCCAGTACCACGTGATTTTTAATGTCAAGAGATTTTTCTTCTTTCGCCTCTGTATAAATACACCCGAAGAAGTAGGGCCAAAGAGACAGACTCAGAGCGCAGACCAGGAACACTGGATGGAGAAAGAGTCCAGGGGGTTATCTACCATTAGCAGTCATTGCTTGGTTAACTGGAGACATTGCTGACAGCACGCAGCCAATGGAAGACTTTTCACAGCTCCTCTGGTACACCCTGGTGCTGAAAGAAGCCAATATTCTCAAGCAAGACGAAGAGTTAGAAGACATGCTTAAGAAAACAAAAACAGTGCCCTTTGATGAAGGGCAAATGGCAGGAAAAGAAAAAAAAAAGAAAAGAAAACATGAGCAAGGTATGGAGAAGGATGGAAACTCTGTTGCTTGGGTCACATGAAACTAGCCTAACAATATGAAATCATAAATGTAAGGGGAAGATCCTGCATTGGCACGGGGCTGGCCATGATGGACTAATAGGTTTTTACGGTCTCTTATTTCAGTTCCTGCATAACTCTGGGGAAATCACAAGTCTCACAAAGCTCCTTTTCTTGCAGGAAATATCATGGGTAGGTGGTTGCCGCTTCGGCGAGCTTCTTCGGATTCTTTTTAACTTAAGGCTCCATAGCTGTTTCAGGAACACAGGATTTCTACATTTAACTACAGAGTCATTTAACCTTTGTTTTGAGGGACTGCTGTGGCAGTTCTAGAGAACTATCCTGAGCAAAATAGTAAAAACATTTTTGAAACATCCAGTGAAGATTATTTCGACGGATCTTTTGCAGTTCTAAGCAGAACAACAGTATGTTGAAGGAGAATCAAAAGGTGATATTGCAGAAGGCAAATGAAGGACAAAGGGAGAGATGGTTGAGTGATTTAAGAAAAAGGCTAGGCAATAAAAGGTCTTGATGCTAGTTTTTGGCCTAGCCACTGCCTCCTGCACAGCTTTGGGCAAACATCTTAATAGCTTAGTTGTTCTATAAAGTGGAGGACGCAAAGTTTAAATGCATTTAAAATCATCAGAGCATTTTGAGAATGCTGCGAAGTATAGACACACCGAGAACCCTCTGTTCTTCAGTGAGCTAATTGCTTAGGTAGCGAAAGCACAGTCCTTGTTCTCTCTGCTCTATCCAAAGTGTTATTTGAACAATTGTGAGGCATGTTTTCAGGGAGCGTGTTGACAGTGTCACTGACCGCGGTTTCACAGACATTCCAGGCAGCTCCTAGGGCAGCGGGGTATCAGCATTGCCGTCCATAGCCATGGTGCCCCTTTCGGCACCACGGTCTGTACAGCCAGCGTCCCCCTTGCTATGAATGGCATGGCGCCAATACCAAGCCATACTGGGGGATTTTCTGGCGTCCTCCTGGACGGGTGGGTGGGCTGGACAGACTTGGCAAGGGCTTGTGAGGTTGCTGCCAACATTTAACAAAGGAATCCTTTACACGCATTCTTGCCTGATACGGCACCTTTTCAGCCTGCTCTGTAGCAGTTGAAGGAAAAAAAAGTCTACGTCTAATATGTAAATAAAAGTATTGATCCAGTAAAAAGGTCATTGCATTCATCCGAGGCAGATCACGTTGCTTTCAGATAACTTTGTTTTTCCAAGTTCATAAGCTTTTCAAGCACAGCCTGACATTTCATTGTGTGGCTGCATACCAAGACGAGGAAAATGGGGAACCAGGTCAATGATCAGCACTCAAGACACCACTGTAGTATCAAGCTAATCAGATCATGGAATTCATGAGAGAGAACTTCATAACCAGATAAAATATGACTGCATAGTGAAAACAAGGAAGAAATAGCGCAGAGGGGAGGAAATCCAAGTATGCTACTCATAGATACTACAATTAAATGATCAAAGATCTGTATTTTTACAGAACAGTTAAGCCAGCTTTGGGAGAATTAAAAATTCCCCATCAGAAAGAATCTCCAGGACAGTGGTGATAAATTAAAACCAACTGGTGATTTAGGTATAAAAAGCAGTGGAAAGAGAATACTAAATAATATCACTGATCAAATTGAACAGAACAACCCTCATCTCTCAAATTTCATCTTGGCTATTCATACAGCCTTTAATAAACTTTTGAACTTCTTGTGGGTTCATTTCATTAAGCACGTGTAAGTTTTATTTTCAAGATTAAAGAGTGTGATTCTATTGCAACTGAATAGGAATATCAACTTAAAACCAGATTTTTAAAGCTGGATTTATGTAGTTTTAACACACTTAAAAGTATTTTAATGTTTATACATAAAATTTTGTAGATCTGAATGGTGCTTATTATGAATGGCACTAAATATAGTTAAGAGTGCAAAAGGAATTAGAATACTAACAGGAAAGTTACATCTGTGCAAGTACCTGAAAAGAGCTGAGAGGTTCTTTAAGAAAATGCTCCAGTATTTCCACATGACCTACCAAAGGGAAGGAGCACTGGTATGCTGCCAAATTCCAAGAGAGCTGAGCAGTGATTAGAGTTTAACTCTGGCATCAGAGAGGAGGCTTTTTTCCCCTTGAATTTCTCAATGTAAAAAATGCTGGAGCTTTCGCTCAACTTTTCAGTTGGGGAAAAAAAAACAAAACCGCACCCCACCGTAAAAAGCTAATAAAGAACTTTAGGAAAACATCTGGTAGTTTTAAGTGCCTTAGTTCAGTAAATTGTCCATTTTCACAGTGTGGGAATGTGGCATGCATGCTTTGATTCTGTAGCCATGAGTGGCACGGGAAGCAGGCAAATAGTTTTGCTGAGTCAGAGTTAGGAATTAATACATCAGGAATAAGCTGCAAGTTCTGACACAGCCTTTAAGAAGGAAAATTGGACAGAATGGTGGCGAGTCATGCAGTCAGTTATCTCTAACTGGCAGAGGATAACTGCTGCTGAACGGTACAATTCCTACTTCACCATGTCCAACCACAGCTGAAATAGCACTGCGCAACCTCCCAGGGTAAGACCACTCAGCATAAAGGCACCTCAGGAACAATAACGAGAACTGAATTCCTCAGCTAGGAGTCAAAGCACAGTCATGTCAACTGAGGAAAGTACCAAGAGAAGCAGAAAGGACAGAAAGAAACTAATTTGAAGGACAACCTATAAAAGCTTCTTCCACTGAATATCCAGAAAAGTTTCACAGGCTGACAGCATAGTGCCCACTTCTCAAATCTGACACTTTGGTCAGGGTACTCAAGGCACATACTGACACAGCACAGCGAGTGACTCTCTTGGCTTTTCATATGGTTGAAAAAGTGCAGCTCTAGTAACAGAAAGTGTTAGTGAATCCTATTCCTGTCCTGCAGCTATGCTATAACATTAGCTTATGCATACTTTCAACACCTTCACCTGTATTCCAGCCCTTATGCTTTGGCAAATGAACAGAGCAACCCTGGAAGGCCCTACAGGCCTTGTACGCTTGTGCGACAGGTTCCTCCAACACGCGCACCATGGGGCAGCCATCAGGTCTCGCAGCTGGGACCAGAAGGCAGCGGTGGCTGGAAGTCACCACAGGACCTGTCCCAGAGAGCTGTATAGGGCTGGCTTCACCTCCAAGGGGATGGGTAAAAGTGTCACTCCTGGAATTCCACCATCACCATCAGGAAACACCATTTCCCCTTCAAAACCAAACCAACCAAAAGAAAAAATCCCCCAAAAACCAAAACCAAGAAAGGTAACACTGCCAATAAAATTAGTTAGACCCTTACTTTCCAGACTTACGAACATGACTTTATATGCTATTAACAATAAGCCATTCACAGAGCAACGTTATGTTGGGTTTTTTTTTTTAACTCCAGGATTAGATTGACATCTCCTTCAGTATTGTCTACTGCTCCAAGTTTTTTTTTTTCCCTTGCCTTCATCACTGATGAAGCAGTCACTGACTCCTTTCACCTCCAAAAACTTTTAAGGACATCTGTAATCTGCAAGTGCCAGAGAGGGGTCACCTTGCATCCACAGCTGGGCTGAAGGGCAGCAGACATTCTACATAGCAGAGACGTGAAATTAATTTCC